AATAAGCAAAGAACGGGAATAAAAAAGGATTACAAGTGTGGCCCTCCCAGAGGCAACATTGTCTTCAACGAACTGTGTCTAAGAGTCATTAGTAGATTTCTCCAATACAAGATACAGACCTAATGATCAAACATCGGAGGAGAACTGATCTGAAACCATTACATCACAGACCACATTACACGATGCTGTTCCAGCGTTGCTATTTTCACAGTGTTGCTTCCTTTCGTTCATAAGTTTAATTTATGTTTCTATATTTTAATCACTTCGTTGATGAATTTAATTAACGGAACAACTACCATCTTCCTATCATGCGTACCCATATCTTTGAACAAATATGTACAGAAAGTCACGTGAGACATTTTTAGGTAAATTTAACTGTCTCGAGAAGGCATAATAGGGGGAATAAAATGTTGGAAACAGAAGTATTTTGCATTTCTGGGTGAAATATCTCGTTCGTATCATATAAGGTGATTAACATGATGTAATTTTGTTATGTTCATGGAAAGGGCAGCAAATTTTCTTCTTATATTAGTAAAATTTCCTGTCACTTGAAATGCTCTGTAGGTTAAGGTTGCTACATCAGAGATGGAAACACCAGAAAGTACTTGAAACACATGCAAATACATACAAACAGAAATTATGAAAGTACATGCAAGTGTACACAGTCAGTGTCCGTGTTCCATCATCAAGTAAATGTAAATACACATAATAATTTATAGCGAGAAAAGCAAATAATGTAAAAGAAAGAAAACATGAACAGTTTCAGCGAACTTCCAGCCGTTTTTCCAGCGGGGCTAGAAGACCCAGTACAAATTGCATGAGGTTATGTGGGTCCCACACCCCCTGCTGTTGATATAGGTAGTCACATTCTAAACATCCAGCCTCGTAGTCGGTCACTTTACTGGCTGAGGTACCTCAGCACGTCGCAACACCAACCTCGCAAGTATAATTAAAATAATTCGTCAGATGTATATTGCTCTGTCACCATTTTTTAAGTTTTAACAAGAAATTATTATAACATATTTTCATATGCTTTAAATATCTGTTGCATTGCTGTGCATTGAATGACATTAGGATTATAAATTATTTCGCTTAGTGGGGGACAGAGTCCAACTGGGTCCACTCGGCACGGCGGCCACTGATTGGCATATTATAGCCTGCTCTGGGTGATTATGGTGATGGAGAATTTGGTGGAATGAAGATTGGCAGAGGAAACCGAAGTACTCGGAGAAAACCCGCCCCAGTGCCACTTTGTCCACCACAAATCCCATTTGACCAGACCCGGGATCGAACTTGGGCCGCCGCGGTGGGAAGCCAGCGACTAACCGCTTGAGCTATGGCGCGGCAAGACATTAGGATTAGTCACATATTCAAATTTCGTAAAACTACTTTAATATTGTTAAAGACAGGGTATTACAAATATACACTAAGAATGAATTCCATGACATTCATGCAGAGTTCTAAGAAAATCAGTATTTTGGGGCCATGATTCTCAAGCCTCTTAAGAACTTCCGACCCACAGTTCATTTTATCAAAGGAGTGTAGTCCCACTATAAAAATTAAATATTCTCTTTTCTGAAGTGAAATACTATAATTGCGTTCATTTTACTATTATACTGATCACTATTGGAAGTTCTTAAAATGTTGAGGTTTGTAAAAATTTATGTGCTTCAGTAATACCATTACATAAAGCAATTTATTCGGTAGGATTTGAGGTTCTCAGAGTTGTGGTTATGTAGAGGACTGTAGATGGAGGCAACATGTTCCTCCGAAACGGTCTACACGGCGTTACTCGAATACCCCAGAAGAGAGAAATCTTCAATTTTAGTTCTATTAGCATAAACACGGCTACGGTGCTGCATCACTGGATTTAGGATACAGCGACGTTTTTGGGTACGTCAATTTTGTGCGGCTGAATTATTATTTGTCAGATCTCGCGTCCCACCAAACTAACCGTCAAGTTCTACCGACTGAGAAACACTGCCTTAGGATATATAATATTAATGCTAGTGACTGAGTCACGGGACGGAAGGACAGAACAAGCATGTTAGGTGGTCTCCCGGAAGAACAAAGCAGACCGCAAAATGTTTCACGAAATAAAAACATGTGCATATTATACGTTTTCACACTTTGACAATTTCGACAACTTTCCAACTTGCTTTATGAGCTTAGTCATTCTGTAACCGAAGAACTATGGTCCTCAGAGACAAGAAGGAGTCGAATGGTACAGAGTAAGTAATACTGGAAGGTGCCTTCGACAACATGTAACATAACGCTTACACCCTTCATCACGACTGTCAATGGTAGAACGGGTGAGCAAAACAACTTCTTTTTATATATAAAATGCACTTTACACGATCGAAAGTCGTTAGTCTGAAATTGCTGATGTAGAAACTATAAGCCAAGCAGACTTGAGACATTGTGAACTTGATGGAAGAGTAAACAAATCCAAAATGGGTATAGCAAATAGTATTTGGAACGTTTTATCAGAATCTGAAGAACGCAGTAACTACATTTCATGATACCGATTTCCGTCGCTTAGTAACAAGGTTTTTGCCATTGTTTCAGAGCAACTGAACTCCCAAAACAGGAGTCTGGGGCCTAAAAAATTTATAGGAATTTGTAATCTCCGTCAAGTGTGCTTCATGTTTGGATAATTTCATCCTTTTTGAATTTATCGACTTCACATTCTTCCGTTAGGGTTAATGGTTATGTTTCATACAAATGCAAAACAGAATGTAAAATCTTATTAATATTTTTACTTCAGCCTTTTAAGCATAGGCTATAAAAGGGTGTGCCACTATTTTAAAGAGTTCGAAGTGTTACTTAATAGATTAATATTAAAATATTTAGAAATCAATGAGGGAAATGAATACTGAACATAAGTAAGAGTAGTTAGCTCATAATGATTATGCATCTCTATACATATTATCGCATGTATCAGCGTCTAAGACGCGGGTTTGGATTGGTAATTAGATTTGTTAACAATATAGCTGTGGTAACTACAATTAATTATTACACTGTAGCTCCGCTCTAATCTTCTCATTCTATCTGCACTGGTCATCACGGATTAATAATACAGAAACTACAATAGTCTTACTGAATTACACACTCCAAATAAAAGTAAAAATTAAAGCTATCCCTGTACCAGGCCGTGATGGCCCATAGGGTTATGAGACGTTGAGGGTCCTACATTATCTAGATAATCGGCTCAAAGATGGAGGTAAGGTTGTCAGCCTCACGCGCCGGCCTCACTTTACTCCCCATGTAAATTAATTAATTAATTCCTAGTACTCGTTTCTGTTAGAGGCTGAGTGAACCCCAGGACCATAGTGCGGCTGGAAGGATTAGGTCGATTGAAAAAATCAAATGACCTCATCTGGACTTGAACCCGCGACCTACCGGCTTATAGCATAGGGCATCAACCAACTACGCTATATTACACATAAATAAAAACTTCTAATCACACGTTAAATCTTCACAGGCCGACTTATCATTCTCCTAGTTCGAATTAACTCTGAACTTACATCACACTGCTCTCGTTATATAGCCGCGGAACGGACATGGGCCTGCAGTAAACACATCACGTGATGGCTACCCAGTCAGCCTGTTGGTACGTAGCTCAGATCTACAGAAAACATATGTCACGTGATCACTATCCACCGTTGTTATGTCACCGCGGACACGGAAACACAGCTTCCTCTACTGTCGCGTGTTGGACTGTGTTTACAGAGCTGTCGCCTGGCAACGCGTCGATCAAATCCGTTACAATATATAAATACATATATTTTAATTTTTCTGATTGTGTAATTTTATTTTTTTCCGAATTAGAATGACTCAACAGCGAATATATTCTTAACCCATTTAGAAAACAAAATTAAGCACCAGTCCTTAGGACAGTAGATGAAGCGGGAGGAAGGGTGGCAGGAGATAGGAAGTGAAGAAAAAACCCATTCTCATCAATGTTTAGAATGAGACTAGAAATATGTTATTAGGTCACGAAGAGCTGTAACTTTCGTACCTAATGCATCAATTCGCGGCAGACCACAAAGGAATACGGCAGGAAATGATCGCCCTCAGGCCCCTATTCTCTGTTTCTTACGCCTTGGATTGGAAAAGTGACAATTAGAAATCGATTAGGAACAAGATTTTAAACAGTTCTGTCAAGGCAATCTCTGTGTTCCGTCCACGAAGCGATAACTTACACGGCCAACACGTTATGTTATGAGAAGTGAAGACAAGCATAAAATAAAATATCTGTTATAATCTTGTGATTCCGCAAAACCTGACGCGAATATGTTGCGTCTGTTAATTTCTCTATCTCCTCTCGCTCCAACTTTGGAGCACAGAGTTGATTTCTCAGTTTCGTGATCATTTTTACAGACGGTAGGACTCCTTGGACAGGTGATCAGCTCATCGCAAGGCCTCTACCTAAACACAGGACAACACAAACACAGAATAAAAGCATAAATACACCAAAAATCTATACCTTGCGTGGGATTCAAACCCACGATCCCGGCTTCCGAGCGAGCGAAGACAGTTCATGCCTTAGACCGCTCGACTACCGTGATCGGCAGCGTTTGGTAAAAATGTTTTATATTAGATTTAAGGTTGACTTTCACCTCACAACATGGCGTTCTACCCTTCATGTTTTATGTTGAACAATTCAAAATTCTTTAGGCTTCACATGATTTCCATATATTTTTAATGAAATGGAGCTGCAACCTTTCGTGAGAAGGTTTAGGCTTCAGGTAAAACGTGTTCGGTTTTAAAATAATACTACAGGTCTACCTTGTCCCGCCACATCTAATAATAATTTTTCAGGTCTTAGGTCAGTATTAGTGAGAATGGAACGACTCAATGTAGATACTAATAAAACTACGGGTTTAAACATAATGCGTTGCGGAAATAGCAATCGGCCTTCGGCAGATGAAAGAGATCAGCCGGTCAGACCTAGATACAGAAACAAAACAAAAGAAGCATGCGTATTACAACCTTACCTTGGCATCCCATCTCGCCAGCAATATGTCCAGCAGGTGTTAAACTGTCTCTGCAATAAATGCAAAAGTGGCTTAGGTTAGTACAATTGGACAACTGGATTGAAGCACTCAGCGACCTCTATCGTTTAAAATTGACACTGCTGTGGCTTAATGCATTTCCGTGTAAGAGGACGGATACTGCAGCAGATTAAGCGCTACGTTCTATATGACTGAACAGCGATACACTTAATAATAGTGCATTCTGGGAAAAAGTGCAAGCGCTGAACTGTCAAAGCTGTTAGGTGAGGTGGTCGATTTGAATCTCGACCGGAATATTGGTTGTCCTGACTGAGATTTTTGGTGATTTTCCTCAGTCTCTGCGACCAAATGGAGGGAGAATGCATAGCTCAGGCCACGATGCTTCTCTCCAAGTACTTCCCACACCATTATTCACCAGTCGCCCTTTCACTCGACGCTATGTAGTCTCAGATACTTGGAGCGTCATAAAATAAAGCACAAAAACGTGTCTTGCAATATCTTTCACTTTAAACTCTTTGACACATGACGTAACGAAACATAATGGACATGTATCTTCCCATCCATCCGTTGACAAACCTTCCTACCTACTCATCTTCACCCGTACGTACCTACAGTCCTCCAAATTGCGGACTTCCGGATTATGGCAGGGTGTAAAGGAAGAAAAAATAATTAATAGCCAGGACATCGAGGGAGGGAAAGTGGCTTAACAGATAGGTGAGTGGCTGGCCTACTACCATATACCCCATACCAGGAGCAAGTTGGCAGCAGTTCTGAAGTGTCTACGAAATGCACGCATCGGTGGTGGGGCTCACTGAAGGATGGGAAGCTGGGGTTAATGGCCGGATGGATGGTAAAAAAAAAATGTAAAGCTATCCCTGTAACAGGCCGTGGAGGCCCATAGGGCTGTGAGACGTCGATGCTCGCACATTTTCTAGAAACTCAGCTCACAGATGGCGGTGAGGTTGTCAGACTTACGCACCGGCCGCCTTTTACTCTTCAGAAAGATTCCTGGTACTAATTTCTGTTACAGGCTGTGTCGTCTCAAGGACCACAGTGCGGCTGGAAGGATTAGATCAACTGAAAAATTCGATGGCCTCATCGGGAAACGAATCCACGACAGTAGGTCTTGTAGCGTATTACCTCAACTTGGCTGGATGAGTCGTGAATATATAAATGGATTGGTTTGTGGTTGAATGATTGAGTGAATGTGTAAGGGACTTAAAAGTACTGTTGACGTTCATCTTATAAGTGCTTAAGGTGACACTTCATTTCCTGGGAACTGTCAGTTATACACACGCGCCGAGATTTTGTTATGTTTTCTGTTGTTTTTATGTGTGTGAGACTCTCACAGACTGAGATTGTTTGAGAACGATGTGCTGAGGTGAATATTTGGCCCAAGGGGCAATGAGTAACAGAAGGAAAGTTTAATAATTTGCACTCTTCGCCTAATATTATTAGGACAATGAAATCAATAAAGACGAACTGTGGGGGAGATTAAATACGAATAACAGTGATTTAAAATGCATACGAAATTATAGCCGGAATAAACCTGAGAAGGTTCACCTAGAAGACTTAGGTATAGAAGGGAGGATAATATTAAAATAGATGTTAAATGTATTGGTTGTGATGATTTAAAATGAATTCCTGTAGTTGAGGATAAGGACCAGAGACGAGGATATTTGAACAAGGCGGAAGGACATGCGAACTACATACAAGCATGAACATTTCTCGGTCTTCCAAAAGGCTATCAACATCTATGAAGTTAATTAATGAGCGTTCAGATCTATTGTTGCTAAGTGCACTGTGCAATACAGGTAAGTATGCATAAAGACGCAAATATGACCTTTATTTCCTGCATCCAGGTGTGTTATGAAATCAAGGTATGAGGTGGTCATCTGCAAAACGATAGTTGATGAAGTAAATAAAATAAAATAAAAATTAACAGAAGGTCAATATTAGTTCCCAGTGTTGCCATTATTACCACTACAAGTTTAAATCGATTAGATCATTAAGTGGTCGATAACAAATTATGTAATGTAAGATTTGAGGCTTTCACGGCGGTGACTATGAAGAAAGCAGTCTTCTGGGATTTGGCACCGTCTATATGTGGTGTTAACCGACGTTTCGGAGGAACGTATCGGCTCCATCTTCAGGGTAGAAGGAAAAATATAAGAAATATAAGAAATATAAAAGCGTCTGCTTTCTTCAAATTATGTAATAATTGAATTTAAAATTAAGATGGATCCTTCTGCCACAATGAAGATATGTCATAAAACGAAGTACTAAAGCGTTAAAATCAAAAGTTAACAACAATTGAGATCGGATGTGGCTTCGCGTATTTTGTGATGATGAATGTAGAAATAAAGTGGGGTCATTTATCAGGGTAGATTATGTGTGATTTAAATGGTGTGCGCTTATGGATTGTAATGTGGATCGGTTTGTTTTAATGGTGGGAATAATGTGCTTATGTAAAGGGCCCTAAATTATTTATCTTAAGTGCATTGTAATTTGCCACACCTACTTCTTGGAATGACAAGTTTGTTCCCTTGTTTTTGGCCTTGAAGTAGACATGACTTTCGATACATACAAGAGTAGGAAAAGCCGTGACGTGCGCATAATTACCACGTTACATCTATTGTCAGTAGGGACTTTCCCGAATGCGCACACTTACTCTTTCTTCAGACATGCGAGAAGTGGCACATCCAAAGACAGAATCTGCGTCAGTCACCGATTCTAATGGGTTATGCAATATGTAACGAACTATAATTAAACTATTTCTTTCCTGTCAAGCGAAGTCTGTTCACAGCCTACGTGTCGATCTAATATATTGTAATGAATTTGATCAACGCGTTGCCAGGCAACAGCTCTGTAAACACGAATACGGGCAACAGTAGAACAGAAAATGTGTTTTCTATGCGGTCAGTGAAAAGGAGTTATCTTAAAGACGAACGGCGCTACGAGTCAGTTCCCTGTAGGAGAGAACCAAGGGAAGTTCCTAGTTTAAGTAGTGTTAGAAGTTGACCTGTGTAGATTTAAAGTGTACTTTTATTCATTTGTAATACTTGGAGTGTGTGATTCAGAGAGACTCTTATAGTTCCTGTGTACTAATTGTGTTACCAGGAGAGGATCAGTGTGTGTAAATCGGCGATAGCGCTGTATTTACACGTGATTAAAATAATTTGTAACCAAGGTGCTAATAAATCTAATTATCCGAATTAGAACCCGTCATTTTCGTCACTCGTACCATCCAAATATGTGACAATAAATATACCTACGTCACAATCTTTAGAAAATTAAATTTACTGGTATAGATATTTATCTTCATTATTCTGTACTCAGTGTAGTGGTCAGCAAAACGCATGTAAATCCTCATTGGGCCCATCAACTAAAACATTTGCTCACCTGTGATTAAGATACAGCCAAAGGCGAAGACACGCGTGAGATAAGAAAACTACTTAGATAATATTCAACTGACGGGCTACAAGAGCAATCTTCGGAATGTTTCAAAAATAACATTTTGGAATTTGGGGTCGTCGTATAAAAAACTAGGTACACCATTAATGAATAGAGAGGGGGTGCAGCGAAGAACGATCGCCTCCTAACCGTACTTAATGAACCGCCCCCTGCGGCCAAATTTTTGCATTGCTTTAGTTAGGAATTTGTTTATGAATAACAATACGTTTACTTCATGTTTAAGGTAACGTAAAAGTAAAAATTATGTGCAGTGAGGTCCCTTATATGAGCGTAAGGAGGAAAGAGATCTTTAACATTTTTACAAATATTCAAGTGAATTTATCATAAATTTTCAAACAAGTGAGATCAACAGTGAAAAAGAGAAAACGAGAAATATAATAAAAGTTTGGTTGAACATCTTCATGAGAAGAGACTACATAAGAAATCCCATAAAAGTTGGCATAATAATATTAAAATGTTCGTGAAGATTTGGAAATTTCATTAGGACGTTCCGCAAGTGAATCCCGACAGTGCCTGCTAGTTCTGCGTTACTACACTCTTTACATACAGGCTGTAACGAAAATTAAGGCTCCATTTTAAACAGCATAAGATTTTTAAAATCCAATTTTAGATATAAAGGTTCTTTTACTGCAGGTCTATTCATTAGGAATTTCAATAACAAACGACACGGTTAAGTACTGAAAACTTCCTTACTCTGCAACCTCCTTCCAACACAAATATTCTCGAAACGTTCCAATCCAAAACGCTAAGAAAACTAGTTAATGCTCCCTGGTACGTACCAAACGCTACCTTACACAATGATCTAAGCATACCATATGTAACAGAAATCATCAGAGCATACGCGGAAAAACACAAAAACCGGACCACTCAAAACAACAACCAACTAATAAGAAACCTCTTCAACCAACCAGCAATTGAAAGAAGACTAAACAGAATGTGTTCAGAGGATCTCATTAGATAAGCACCAGAGAATCATCGGAGGATGAGATCTGCTTCAATATTACACACACCCATCCCTTTTACTAATTACTCTATTTATGTATATTGAGTAGATTGTAAAATAATAAAAAAAAACTCTGCAACCAGCCAAGCGTCGAGTCAGAAGAGCGGCCCCAAATCAAGGACAGAGGTTGTGATACTGTGTTGCCTGATCAGGTGTCTCGCCTGCCTCAGGGACTGGTAATACATGAGTAAGAGTCGATGACTGAATCAAAATTAGCAGGGAAAAAATCAAAGAATCTTCGAGAAAACCCTTTTCCAGTTATATTCGTCCTTCACGATCACCGAGAATTGAACCCGATGCTCCATAGTGAGAAGCCAGTGCCTAACAGCCTGAACTATGGAACGGCTATGATTAGGCATTATTTTAGTAATTTCTCTCTTAAGATCATAATAATTCCTCGTATTGGACAATGGATTTTATGACGCAGAGCAGAGGCAATTTATACTAATCTGTATCCCTAGATCCGGGTCAGCACTTGAGGAATCACGCACCACGACGAATGGTGGGAAGACGCTGAGCAATATAAAACCCGAGAGAAGAATGCTGTTCAACTTG